TCTCTCCCCCTCTCTCTCTCTCTCTCTCTCTCTCTCTCTCTCTCTCTCACACACACACACACACACACACACACACACACCAAATTAGCCACTGGGAGTATAACAGTAGTAAAGACTGCTTAGTATCTGCAAGGCCCTAGGGTTCAATCATTAGTAGCAAGTTCCCCGCCACCCCACCCCCAACAACAACATATGGTGAATCCCAGGTTTGCAAAGAGTATGGGAATGGAGGTGCTGGCTCTAGTGAGAAGCAGGGTACCCTAGAATAGGAAGGATACAAGTGCACAGCCTTTTAAAAAAGCAAATGCTTGGCAGTTACATTTATAAATAACAGCACCCCCCCCCCATTTTGTTTGTTTCCTTGCAAAGGAATTTGTAGGCTCCACAGGAAGTTTCTGTGAGATTTAGAAGCTATGAGTCAAGTGAGTGAGGTGTTGTGACTTCACCCAAAGGCATTTCTTGCCCAGTACTTTTCCATTTCCAGCCTTTTCCATGTTGGGTAACTGCATTGCATGCTCCCCAGTTACCCAAGCCAGGAAGCAGGCCTTCATCCTGTCTCCTCCCTCTGTCTCATTCCCCACTTCCAAACAGTCACCCAAACTGTCATCACTGACACCTCTCCATCCCTGAGGCCATCACTCTACCCCGGGTTCCAGCATGCTCCACTTGGACTCACACCCAATCCTAGTGGCTCTTTTCTCCTCCATTTCCTTCCTTACCTGGGGACTCTCCTATGTGAATGCTAAGGAACAGACACACTGCACTTTGGGTTGTCACCTACCTGCTCCTCTCTCTGGGGTGCATTGTATCCCACCACAAGAATGAAAGAACACAAAGAACCAACAGAAAGCTGGAAACTATAAACTCTGGAGGTAAAACTAAAGCTAGCCTTTATCCTGCTTCCCTGGATCATGTGTTTCTTCACATGCCTGTGTCCTGCCCCATTGTGCACACAGATGACTGTGCTCTCTGCCTTTCTTGCTATGTGCTCACATGCACATCTCCCCAGTCCTTCAGCAGGCTCTGTGTTGGGTTTGGATCATTCCCAGATATGTAAGACCAGGACTTGGTATCACAGCTTCACACACCACCAGTTGCTCCTGGCTGCAGGCCGGGTTTTGAGATAAGATTGATGAATGACTGTCACACTAACAGGCATCCATCCCACCGGTGGTCTGCGGGTTGCAGGTTGTATATGAATGTGTAATATATGTGTGTGAATATGTATATGAATATTTTATTTGATCTCAGTATCCCAACAATTAATACAGTCATCTTTATTTCTTTCATCGGATTCTTGACTAGACAGATAAACAGTTGGAAGAACATCTGGCTGAAATTGAGCTGCTCTTAAAAAAAAAATTGTTTTTAAAGGAAAACACATTGTAAAGAAAAAAAATAGGCATTTCTTTTCTTTGGCTTTCTTTTCTGCTCCATGTGGTAAAGCTACCTCTTCTTGCTTTCTGTCCCTCTGTTCCTGCATGGGCCGTGGGGTCCAGAACCCCTCATCATCAACAGGTAACTCTGACTCAAACTTTCCAGGGTGGTAACTGTAGAGAAAAATATGTGTGAAGCAAGTATCAGTGAGCATAATGTTAGTTTCATAATTTTCAATGGAAAAAAAAATGAAGGAAATGTCTTAACATTTCTCTCTAAATGCCCATGAAGTATGTAACTCTAAAATGAATCTCATTTTTAAAAATATAAAACAAATCAAGCATCCATCTGTCTGCTACTCTGGACCAGTCTTAGAACTGAGTGATGATGGACAATGGACGGCATCTAAGCCAATCCTCTGTTTTGATGTAGTCAAAAGTGGATGGTTTAACTCAACTGCCAGACATTCATTTCCTGAAATGGAGCATCAGATTATCATGGCAACAGAATGTTTAGAAGATCTCAGAATTGGGAGAATTAAATTTTCTGACCCAACTTCCCAGACACTTAATTTTGTTTTTGAAATTGAAATTCAGATTATCATAGCAACAAAATATTTAGATGATCTGAAAATTGGAATAATTATAGATTTTGATTCCATTTCATGTATAGATCAATCTAAACAAAGCTTTCTTTTTCACTTCAATGCTGGCAAAGGATGGACATAGGATGTTTTTTGTTGTTGTTTGTCCCCCCCGCCCCCAAAATTGCATTGTAGACCAGGCCTCAAATTCCCAGAGGTTCACTTGCCACTGCCTCCTGAGTGCTGGGATTAAAGATGTGGGCCACAGGACATAAGATTTGTTTGTTTGTTTGTTTGTCTGTTTTGTTTGGTTTGGTTGAGACAGGATTTCTCTGTGTCGCTCTGGCTGTCCTGGAATTCACCAGGATGGCCTCGAACTCACAGAGATCTCCCTGCCTCTGTTTTGCTTGCCTCCCAAGAGCTGGGACTAAAGGCATGCACCACCACCACCCAACAGTTTTAAGGCTCAAAGGCAGCAAAGGTAGTTATGGGTTCACAGGTAGCAAGGACCTGGAACTAAAATCTCTAAATAAACTAGGACCCCAAATAAGCTCTCCTATCAACAAAAGGGAAACTATTCCTCCAACTTTGCCAAACACAGACACACACAAAACATATCTAACCCAGAGTCCCCTAAAATATTGAAGCTCCAAATGTGCACATTCAGAGGGACAAGAGCCATCCTTAAAAATAGGATCATTTGTGGCCGGAGAGACGATGGCTCAGAAGAGACCTTGCTACTCTTTCAGAGAACCAGTGTTTGGTCACATTGGTAGCTCAAAACCACCTGAAATTCCAGAGGAATCCAGATGTCCTCTTCTAGCCTCCAGGGACCCTATACATGCATGTGTACAAACACACACACACACACACACACACACACACTTAAAATAAATCTTTTTAAAAAATAGGGCCATGTGATAAGAAAAATACCTATAGCTTCTTTTAGAAATGGAAAAAGAAAGTTTTAAAATTTGAAATTTTATTGGTCGACTAACAAGAGATAAGATAAAACTGATAATTCTTGGATCTTCAAGAAATTTCCCAGATGGCAACATAGACCAATAAAGATGAAAAAGTAAGCAAGGTTAAAGTCAGAAATCAGGCCATGTGTGGTGGCCCATGCCTTTAATCTTGGCTCTCAGGAGACAAAGGCAGGCAGATCTCTGGGTGTTCAAGACCAGCCTGGTCTACACAGCAAGTTCCAGGACAACCAGAGCTACATAGAGAGACCCCATCTCAAAAAAAAAAAAAAAAAAAAAAAAAAAAAGTAAGCAAAATCAGGCCAGGCGGTGGTGGCACATGCTTTTAATCCCAGCATTTCTGTGAGTTGGAGACCAGCCTGGTCTACAAGAACTAGTTCCAGGACAGTCTCCAAAGCCACAGAGAAACCATGTCTCAAAACAAAACAAAACAAACAAACAAACAAAAAACCCAAAAGTAAGCATAATCAGATTCATGAGGGAATACTATCAAGTTTATGCCAATTGATTTGATAACTTAGATAAAATACTAGTTTTTAAAAATACACAAACTGCCAAAACTAACTCAAAGGAAATATAAATAAGCCTATATCCACTAAAGAAATTGAAGTTTTAACTCAACATTTTTCCTTAATGAAATCCCCAGGCTTAGGTCCTTGACTTTATCAGGTATTTTTTGTAGTATTTAAAGTTGTTCAACAAAATTGTACTTATAGATCAACAGATGGGTGGAGTCTAGAAACAGACCTCATAATTCCATGCTTTATTAATTTTCAAAAAATTTGTCCATGTAGTTCGCTGGGGTGAAAGTCCTTTCAGTAAACAGTATCCAAAGAGTTATCCATACAGCTAGTCTTTACCTAAAACCATATAAGCGTTATTAGCTCAGAATGAATTATACACCTAAGTGCAAAAGCCTTAAGATAAATGAGATCTCTGTAATGCCTGTGTAGTGTGTGTGTGTGTGTGTGTGTGTGTGTGTGTGTGTGTGTGTTAATATCTTCAATATTAATCCTAAGGTAAGATGGAAAGTGTAAAAGGAAATGAGATAAACTAGACTGAAAATTAGAAGTTGTAGCTAAGCATAGTGACACACAGGAGATTCCACACTCAGGAGGCAGAAGCATAAGGATTACAAGG